TTATATATTTATGTCAATGGTTTTCTGTATCAGGGCCAGCATGGGCCGCTTCCCAGTTTCCCCAAACCATGGGTCAATTCCTGAAGGCGGAAGCGCCCGTTTTCTTGTGACGGAGGTTGGAACCCCTTTTCCCGCGTTGAATGGACACGAAAGCACCTCGGCGGAGATCTGGCGCTGTTGCATGGCCACCTCCTGGTCGGCCGCAGCCACCTGGTGGGGCGATGCAGACAGCAGCAGTGCTGTGCTGTTTGGGTTGGGCGATGTCGAAATCCACGGTCAGGATGATAAACCAGCCAAGTCTGGAATAGACATGTGTTGGGAAGCATTCAACATGGAACGTGAACTCCAAATCATTGAACACATGAAGAGAGACAACAAAGGAAAAATATGGATGCATTGTTGAATATGTTTGACATAGTCATCCAATCATCACTCGATATGTCGCTCCCAGCAAGTGCAACACTGGATCTCAGAGGGGGGGGGCAAGCCGAAATTGTGTGGCAAAAGGATCGAAAAGCCTGTCATGCAGGACCTTTGTCCACATGACTCTGCTGTAAGGGGCCATGGCCCCCGAACTTCTTATGCAAAAAAATGAAGCTCCACGGAGGACTGTGATGGACTGTGGCTTCTTTTTCTTGCTCTGTAAGAGCACTACAGTACAGGGACTTTGTGAGCCCTGGAAGAGCCCTAACAGCTTATAAGCATTTGGTCCAGGGAGCAGGGCTTAGAGGAAGTAACTCCGTAACGAACATAGACAATAAACATTCACCGTGCATCTGCTGAAACAGGGCTTGATGTTCTGCCGTCGAAGGTTGGTTTTGGAGAAAGAATCTTCTTCTAATTAGTTGGGGGATGCCAATGGATTCAGAGTAAGAGACCTGGTGAACCATAGGTTCTTGCATGTTCTTTTCTACTTTTGAGCACCAGGTTCCTAGGAAAACTAGATGGAATTAGGAAGAAGGCCCCCCTGGAACTGCTGCCTTCATCGTCTGCTGCAGAAAGACCTGGCAAGATCCGAAGCCGGGGTCAAACATGACTGGACATGGCCATGAAATCACCTTTACCTGGGCAACTTTCTTCTTCTTTCGTGTTTATCTTCTTCTTCCTCTTCCTCTTCCTCTCCTGTTCTCTCCTCTCCGGGTTCAATTTCTTGGGGAGCGCTCCAGTGTCGCAGCAAAGCGATGCTGACGTGCTCCACGCCATGGGTGGCTTTGCTGCGGTGAACAACACAACAACACGACGATCGTTTCAGGTCGACCTCGGAGGTCCTCAAGAGGTCCTTGTGGATTCATTCTTTGATTGAATTTGCTTTTTCGGAACCGGGACACCCATATTCCCCAGCAGGGGATTCACCCAGTTCGGGAAAATAGACACATCACCCGTAAGCAAAACCAGGTTTGGGTCTCCAAACCGTGCCGTGGTGGTCCAAATGGTCAAACCAAGCCATCCATGCCAATCAGCAATGTTTCAATGGATTATCTGGCACTGCCGAGGCACATCCGACTGTGATGATCCCTGAAAGAAAAGAGAGAGGTGCTATCCCAAGCTCATGTTCAATTCAAAACTAATACTATAAGTACTTCATTTAGCTTGACGGGGGGGGTCCAGTTCTGTGGTCTTTCCTGGCCACCGCCCGGTGAGAAGAAATCACGCACACCATCCGCGGAAGACATCGCCGGTGGGACGGCGGAGACCACGTTGAGCACCGCGAAGCCTACAGGTGGTCAGCTGCGAAGCCACCAACCACTCACCCCGACCGCCCAGAGTCAGCATGAACTGTGGTCGAACAAGCCTGCCAATAAAGCAACGATCGGCAATTCCATACAGAACTTGACGAAGGGCTGTTCGTGAATCATTCCTGAGAAGTCTTGCGTTGGATGTTGCTTTCCAAAGCAGAACAAAAGTAAAACATGCATTTCCATGCAAGATGATGTTGTGCATCAACCTTGGACCATCATACAAAAAATACCAAAAAAACAATCGAGTGTCGACAAACAATCAGCCTAACACGTTTCCTGGATGATGCTGATGCAGGCTGGTTCAGGCACGACCTAATCCTTTAGCTCATGAGCCATCAAAGATTGTGTTCCCCAAGACAACAAACTGGCACCTCCAAAAAAACTAAGATAAACACATCCTTTTCAACCAGGAATTCCCGTCCTCGCCTACAAGGCAGCGATAGATGATAAAGCCCAAAGAGTACCTCGTTTTCTCATGAATTTGTTGTAAAGAAGCTTGCAAGTGGGGCGGCAGTCCGGACGGTATGTAGAGAAATACCTACTCCGCAGTCCAACCGACACCAGCTCCTCCCATCTAAAACACACTGACAACATTGACACAACGTACTGTAACCACGAGGACAGAATAGATGCCTTCTCTTCCCAACATTCTGAAGTTGAGGCTAGACCGAGTTTGGAGGCATGTCCAATCAGGTGAAAGAGCTAGCACTGTCAGTCAGTCTTTGACTTGATTTGGTATTTCAAATTCAAGGCCTCCTTTGGAACCTTCTGCGTCAATGGTCAAATACTCAGCTACCTGCTAATTGGCGATAGAAATCCAACTTGTTCATTGCATTCTTTTGTCTGGATACTTTTGGTCCTTGTGTATTCCCTCCATTCCATTCCATTTACCGTCCTCTCTGCCAAGAATGCATGTAGTACAGTAAATACAACGCAATTGCACGTTGCAAAAGTGGCCATGAATTTCAACACGGATGGGTGTTGTGTTGAAATGATGTTTTTAAGGAATGTAGGCAAACAAATCCGTTCCCATGGATTCTTGGGCATGATTTCTGGGATTTTCTGGGAGAATCTGACATTTTGTCGGTGACACACACACACACACACACACGCATCGGTGCCTCGGATGTCCCATGCCCCCCATGTCCAAGGTCCATTCTGTTTGGCCCAAGACCAGGCATGTATGGGTAAAACATGTCTCCCACATCTTCAACTTGTAATTACCTCACAGTCCATTGACTGTCCATCCTCTCCAGCCCGTCGCATGACCCGACATGCGCACCATTCGCTGACGTTGTCCACCAAAATCCGACAGGGCGGGGCCCAGTTGGCCATCAAAACCTGCCAAAAGGAAACCAATTCTCGGAGAGCCTGACCCCCACAAGTCCCAATGATCCCAATCGGGTACCGGATTTTCTGTTTTTTTCCCAAGCAGTTTACTGTTAGGGGTTCTCAATTCTTTCTTAAGATGTGTCGGTCCTTTCTGTTTACTGTTAGGGGTTCTCACGTCTTTCTTAAGATGTGTCGGCCCTTTCTGTTTACTGTTAGGGGTTCTCAATTCTTTCTTAAGATGTGTCCGCCCTTTTCCGCTGGCCTTGCAGCAATTCTATTCATTTGTCTCCCATGTGATATCTTTACTTTTGTCTCCCAGGTGATTTCTCTACTTTCCCAAGCAGGTTACTGTTACGGGTTCCCAATGCTTTCTAAGAGTGTCCCATCTCTGCACGTCGCAAGCTCTAGTTGCAGAGTGTTCCGACTTTAAAGAACACACACTGTTTGGGGTCTACGGTGGCGTAACTTGTTGAATAGAAACTATTTCCACAGATCCCGAAACACACCCTCAGAATGGTCCTGCATTCGAGAGAATGACACGTCCAGTTGTCGCCGCTAGGTGGAAAAAAAGGCTGTGAACTTGTGAAGAACGGCGGAAAGGTGGGTCTTTTTGAGGAGCTGGTTTTAATGGCAGAGATATCCTATCAAGCTAGCTTGCCACAAGGTGTAGTCATTAAGCAGGTTTCGTGGCTCCACTCCACCGTCACTGTGCCAAAGCGGGCTGTCGCATGTCAAAGCCTTTTCACCCATCCTACCATCGAGCCAAAGGCTGGTTCTTACTCAAATCAAATGGGTCGTGATCAGTCAATGTTCTCTATCCATGCTTGGGGCCAGTCAACTCAGCAGTTCTTCAGAGAGATTCCTGGAAGAACCTTTCATTGCAACCTGCCTGGCCTAATTGAACAAAATGATCCGATTCTCATCATTTAGACAGTTTTTTTTGTTTTTGCAATCTGCATATGCTTTAAGATTCATTAAATGAATCGAAAGGAACATCGCAAGAATATATATAATTAGTTATAATATGTTATGATTGATTTATATATATATATGTATCATTATGTATCTATTCATATCCATTCTATCCAACCAGCAACTGTTTTCGAAACTCTGTCGACTTTTGGTGACTCCCAACCGAGGGCTGCAAGCTGCACACGCTGCAATGCGTCTCGTTTTTTCTGTTCGGTGCGAAACAACCGTTTTCCTGGAAGACCTTCTAAAGATTGACCAAAATCCTCTGAGGAAACGCACATGGAAAGAGTTCTAACCTTGCTGACCCTCCCCTCTTCTGCCCCAAAGGGTCACCATCAGCCAGAAATCCGTCAACTTGCCTCAAACATCGTGAGAAGTGTGCTCGTAAAAGTTCCGAAGTACCCTTGGTTGTCGGGAACGTGGGATGCTGGTGGCGGGACGCGTGCAGCCAGCTGTAGGAGATACCCTCAAGCTTGGTGAGAATGAATTCGAACACTCAGTAGGAGATCCTGATGAATTTCCTAAGGTTGGGGATATATGGTAAAAATTCCACATCTCTCACTCCTACCCAAAAAGTCATGGGAACAACTCACACGGCACTCAGCATGTCTCTGTTGTTCATGTTCCAGAATGCCCCAATTCAATCGGCTCAGGCATTTGTTAGGCCCAAGGAAAACGAGTCCAGACAATTCAAAAAAACATAGGTTCACTTATTCGCCCTTGGCAACATTACATCACCCTCGCCAACCCTCTAACCCGATATTGAACAGTTGCGAAGGGGAGGTGTACGGGGAGGTACGCACCTCTCTGTCATCCCAAGGATGCCTCATGTTTGAGAAGCTGAGCCTTTCATAGAAAAAATCCAGTCAAATCCAAAATTAATCATTCTGCCTATATACTGCAATCCTACGGCATCTTGCCATAAGTATCTCCATTGCACCATTGCACCCTCATCATTCACCCCGATGTAGGTTTGCCATGCTTTGCAGCCTCGTTAGTGAAGCCTAACCCCCGCCAGATCCACTCCAAGGGGCGGAAGACCTCTTGCCGAACTTCGGGATCCTCCAAGGGGTCGGCCAAAAAAACTTTGGAGGGATTGTGCCAGAAGCATCCCTGCAATGCCTGAGCTCAGAGGGGCCTTTTCGCTGATGCCGATCCGTAACTGGAACACTTCATGACCTTCCTAGGTCGGAACGTGGCTGCGTGGAATCCGTCTCGCGGACGCTCCGAATGGCGGACGGGGAATTAGGTGGTCGGTTCGGTTCCAAGGCGGGTCGGATCCGTCATCATGACGCAGTAATCGTATCGTGTACATTGAATATTATCCAATACTATAAACCGCCGACCCTGCCCTAGCTATGGTCACGAAGGGTGGCACCTTGGGACCAACCACCGTAAGTGCGGAGCTTTGCGGGGATGTTGAGCAAAGCTTTTCACCAGCTGCAGCAAAACCAAACTTTTCCTTCAAAAGCCTCTGTCGAGCCTTGCAAGCGGCCACAAGTGTCTTTGCATGAGACTTCAACACTGCCGTCTGGCACAGCCATCTCTTTATGAGGCGTCAAAATTGCCGTCTGGCACAGTTTCTTCTGCTTCAAAAGCCCCTGGCAAGCGTGGAACCCTGCATGCTGCCAGAGCCGCCTTTTATGTGGGGCTTCATCAATACTGCCGTCTGGCATGGTTTTCTTCTGCTTCAAAACTGAATTCTGGGACGGCTTCTGTTGCTTTAACAGCGTCTCGGAAGTGCTTCAAAACTGCTGTGTGGTACAGCTTCCTTCTCCTTCAAAGCATTTGGGCAGGGTCGGGCCCTGCAAGCCGCCACAACTGTCTCTCTATCAGGCTTCAAAGCTGCCGTCTGGCACGGTTCCCTTCTGCTTCAAAAAAACACTTGGGCGCACGCTGCCAGAACCGTCTCTGCATGAGGCTTCAATATTGACGTCTGGCACCGTTTTCTTTTGCTTTCTGGCGGGCGTGGAGCCCTGCAAGCTGGCAGAACTGCCTCTCTATGAGCTTCAAAACTGCTGTCTGGCACGGCTTTGTTTTGCTTCGAAAGGCTGTGGGCGTAGACTCCTCTCTCCATCAAGCTTCAAAACGGCCGTCTAAGACGTATCTTTCACGCGCCTTCCAGAACCAAAAAGGATCACCTACAGCTCGCGGTGTTTTCGTTTGCGTCAACAATGGGCAAGCAATTCAGTGATCTGCTTGGAGTCGAGGGGAAGCACACTTGCTGGTGGTTGCACGACCCGCCCAACATGAAAGTAGAAAGAAGACCAAAATCCCGGTGCAAAAAAAAACATTCACCAATCCTGACATGCCGTAGTGTTTTTGTGAGTTTGGCCCTGCGCAGTTGTGCGTATAGGACCATCCAAATCACAGGGAAGTTCCAACCAGCGATCAGCCCATGTCGGACAAAACGCGTCTGGAAGGAGCCCTTCGAGCAGTATGGCCTGTCCTTCCAACCAACTCACTCTTCAGGCAACTCCATAAAACACTAAATAACGGTGATCAAGCATGTGATGAAAGCCAAACACTTTTTTGTCGTGCGCTGCTTTCTCTAGTGCCAGTGCTGAGTGCGGCTAAAGCTGGTTGTATCTACTTAATGTATCTTGTTCACCTCCTATGTCAGTTCCTTCTTCCTCGCCGTCCTGGCTTCGAAGTCCTTCAAGCCACTTGCGCACGCTGCTGGCGCACACATTGCCCGAGCTCACAGACAGCTCTTCCCGCCGCTAGTCCTATACCATCAGGCATGCCACGGTGCTATACATAGCGTAGCTAGGCTGCCCTGAATACTCACCAACCACCACCTCGGCCACAACCACAGTCTTCTCTGGCTTCAGGAGCTCACTAGATGATGCCAGTCCGACGCAGACAACGTTGTTTCCTTCGGAATGGACCCCCCTTGCCCGAACATGCAGCAGCCAGTGTTTGGGTTCGATTGCTACACTTGGGCGCTGACGCCTGCATCTTTTCTCCTGCATTAGACAGCTCTCCAGTTGCCTCTGTCAGGGCGGTCTGCACTGCACTTGCCGTGCAGCTTCTTGCGCAGGATGCTGCCCGGTGCCCTACGCCTGTCTTGCGTAAAGAGGGGTTGGTCGGGGTCGACCCTACCACAACAACGACCACCGCGACCACAACAATCACCTGCTTGCCCTTGCCGCCCTGCCACTCAACACCCTGCTGGCCCGCTGTTGGGCGTAAGCCCCCTAAATATGTAAATATACATACATATATATATATATATGTGTGTGCATATATTGTATTAATATGCATATTGTTATTATCGCATTAAATCAGTTACTACTTATAAATATACATATTCATATACAAATATACAATATAATATAATATATAACACTATATATATATTATAAATAGTTTTATAGACTGTATGGATATATCTGGCACCGTAGTGCGCATCGTAGGGTACATCCAGCTTACATTCAACAGCGCCCCGCCGACGGAGTGTTTTCCTATGGGCATCTGGAATCACAAACATAAGCCATCATGTAGACCGTTGATTGAGTTTCATACCCCATATATATTACGAAAATGTAAAATCATTGTGGTAAGGAGGGTTTTATCTGATCAATAGTCTGCACCTGATTCGACTCTGGCAGCACATTGGCTTGCAATGAAGGGATCTCTTTCTTAAAGGCCCTGGCCTTGACCCTGCCGTATCGTTGGGCCATCCAACATAAACAACTTATATACTGTCTAACAATTGGTGGGGACGGGATCTGGACAGATTGGAGTATGGTGAAACTTTCAAAACCGATTCTGCATGGAAGGGGACAAGGAAGGGAGCGGGCTCCGCGATCCCTCCGCGATCTCCACTTGCAGACGGCATGCATTGGATGATGGCCAATAAGCAAAGAGACCAAAAGAGCACTTCCTCAGCAAAGGAACCGTCTTCAACTGACAGAACTCTGCGTGTTGCCAAAGGTGTGTCGGACAATTGGATGTGCCTTTTGCTGCATTAAGCTCTGCTACAAGAGGAGTTATCCAACTATAGAAGGATATGCAAACTGCTGCATCCCACACAACTCAGCTCACAGTCTGACATGTTTCGGCTTCGAATCTTGCCAAAGACTCTTGCTTGACCCCCCCGGCCCAAGTTTCCTCCTAAAAGTTAAAGGTCCTTGCAAAGGAAAAACATTTCACACCACTCACACCACATTCAAAGTATGCACGGGTCCAGAGTGGTCCAGCAGTCCACCCATTGGGACGTAGGTTTTCCGCAGAACGGAAGTGGAAAGGTTGAAGGAGCTTCCCTTCAAACTCTTGGAAACTGTGACGATCTGTGCACTGGGATTTCACTGACCCAAAAAGATTCCACCACTTCTAGGAGCTCAAGCGAAGTAAAGGATGCGGACCCATGACCAGAATTGTGGTCTGGAGGCCACGCAGGCCACCGCTATAGTTGCATTAAAAAAGTGCCCTGGGCTTTTCAAAATGGAGTCCTCAAGACATTGCAGCACTCACCAAGTGAACAACATCTAGACAGAAAGCACTATGTCCCCGAACACGCCTTGGTGCGTTCATTCGGCATGCCTGTCCATGAAAAAGTCTGCCGCGTCCATGACCCGCTGAGCTCTGTTTTCTCGCCCAGACGCTACGCTTGCACGCACCGACTTCAACAGCAAGTGGAGCGACCCCAGGATGTGAGCTCCTGGGGCCCAAATGGATGGCAAGCTGCAAGCGTGCTGATAAGGAGTTGAAGGACCCAGTTGATAAGGAGTTGATAAAGGCAAATTCAGGTCAACAATCAGTATTTTTCTTTGGCTTCATCACAAAGCTTACCTTTGGGAGAGAGACCTGAAGACGTGAGGGTGTGGACATGGAAACGGTTACCAACAAATAAGATCGTCAGTTATATGTATATATTTACCTTGACACATATGGACACCATGGCAAGATCGTATCTACAATTACTGAGATGTTGCAGAGGTAGGGAAACAAAAAGGAAAACAAACTCACACACACACACATCTTCTGTGAGACCAAGAAAAATCTCCATACTCGATCGAACAGTAGACCTTCGGTCCTTAGGTGTGGGAACTTGCAACAAATCTCATAGCCCACACTTCAAGGACGCTACTAGTAGCTCCTGGCCTTAGCAAATAGCTACTATAGTAGCTATTTGCTCCAAGTAGTAATGCCCTTGCTGCTAGTAGCGATGCCCTTGTTTCTCCAATGTTCTAAGAATTTGAGTAGCAACGGGTTGGGGGGCACTGGCACTCCCGTGGTCGCTCCAAACGGCTCCCTGTTTGGGGAAGAACTGAATACCACCGGTTTTCCGCGACCTTCTCGCCGCGACCGCCGCTCCCTCCGTCGCTGCCCAGCATCGCTTCAAGACCCGAAGGCTGCGAGCAACCTTCGCGAAGCGCAAGAGCCGTAGGAAGGGCGCATTCACAGGGAAGTTGTCCCCAAAAATGTCCTGGCAGGGATCTGGGATGGCGCCACTGGACCAATGGAGTGGGGTGTAGTACTTCCGTAGTAGGGAGTTTCCTCTAAAAGAGTCTTCAGGGAGGAATCAGTTTCTCTCATGTATGACCCTGGATTTGATCGCCTTCTTTTTGGAGTGCCTATTTATTGGTGACAGCGGGTATCTTTGCGTCTTGGACGGGGAACAGAGTTCTGTTCATGATCCGTATTCACCTCGATGGACCATGTCCGCGGACTCTCGGATGACTGGACTCCGTCGGATCATGTGAGTTAAAGAACCATGGACCAAGTAACCTGAAGATCCCTTCTCATGGAACATCTATCGCCTATAGCCATCCCCAAAAAAGCGCTCCAACAAGACATGCGAGAAAAAGCTCTTCCAATGGACAGCTCTGGGACAGCTCTGGGAGATGAGAGACGAGACGAATTCACCGACTGTCTGCGCCTCCATCAAACTACAGGAGACCACCACGAAGTCCAAGAGATTCAACCTGAGCCGCACCAGGGTTGCAGCGCACGAACGCGCACAGGAAAACCCTGAGCTGGGAAAAACACGGCTCAATCTAGAGAGGTTGGAGAAACATGGGGAAGGGCTGTGGCGCGTGGCTTCCCGAAGGATTTGGCCTTAATTGATCCATTCCTCGTACTTGATCCGGGCAGGGGAATGGACACATGCTAAAGCATGGACTTTAACAGACTTTTATAATAACTACTTGTGAAAAACACAACAACATTAGAAGCCAATCACAATATCTGGTCTGATGGTGTCCGGGACGAGGCCTCGGATACGCAAACTCGAACAACAGAAACGCAATGTCTGGTCGATGTGCATTCCTTTTTACCCAATTCGTCAGGCCCCTCTTCCTCACAGGGAAAAGCAACCCTGGCTTTCTCTTCCGGGCCGCCGACTGTCATACAGTAGTCATGCGGTTCCTCTCTTGACCGAGGAGCGTTTGGCAAAAGAAGCGGAGACGCAGCACACAAACTCGCATCATGATGTCAAGCACGAAGAGTCCTGTGAAGGTCCTGGATCAATGAGCAAATTGTTTGTACCAAGAAGCTGCTAGGTTGGAGGCCATCGCTATTCTGTTGGAGGCCATCGCTACTAGTACCAAGAAGCTACTATAGGAACAAGTGCATCGCTAATAGTAGCAAGAAGCTTTCTTGCTTTCTGCTTCCCATCTCCAGGTATAGACTGTTTCAACCGCTGGGTCGACCGAAGGCGTCGACCCAAGTGTCTAGGATTGAGCCTGACCACCTGGCCCCACCTGGCCAAAATGCAGTTCTTTTGGGCATGTATTTATTGCGACACAAATAAATCTTTAAGATCCACCCAATCATCTTCGAGTAGCAAACTGAAACAAAACAAATATCCAAAGTCAGCACTGCTGCTGGGCCACCTGTCCATCCAGCGCAAAACCACCTTGGAACATCGGCTTGTCCGTCTGGGATGCTTCAAGGAAGAAACACCGGATGGTCAGAAGTCCTCTTTTGCAAACTGGTCATGTTGAATCTTGACGCCCTGAAAAGGAAACAAACAACATCACCGTTGTCAGCAGGGTCTAGTGGACCATTTGCTCGTCCTTCGAGGTTGGAATCCTGCGGCCGAGAATTCATCCAGAGCACAGGCAGGGGCGGTTCTTTCATGTTCTTTCAAGTGGTCTTTGTTGGCCTTGGACCTTCAGCATCAAGGTCTAATGCCACGGACTGGACCGGTACGTCATCCCCAGGGTGCCCAGGATCTCCCTGAGGTGCCCATATACTCTCCCGCAAACGATCCCATCAAACCTGAGAATTGATGGAACCCCATGTGGTCCGTCCTCTGTGGAGTAACATACAAAGACCACCTGAATGGTGCCAAACCCAGGCCACTCCCCGCCATGGCCAGTCCAGGCGCTGGCCACTGGTGCCAAACCTCCTCAGGTGGATGGATCAGCTTCGGATACTGCAGCTCGTAGCCGATTCTCAGCATTGGCTGACCCAAAGTGGGACGTCCAAAACCAACGGTTTTGGGAGGTGGACCCCCTTGATCGGCGCCAGTCAGCACGCCCAAAGATCATCGATATATCAAAATAAGTAATCACTACCTTATCTAAGTGATATCAATAGGAACGGGACACATATTTGGGGCGATAGACTTGGATTTGGATGTCACCTGAACATGACAAACATGACACATGGCCGCTCATGACACCTGGCCCAAGGCCTCGATCGTCACAACCTGCAGCCGAACCGGGCTGCGGAATGTCCTCTCTCCGTTGCATTTAATTAACATCCTATAGAACCCTGTTTTGGAGTCAAAACATGATCTTTACCTATATCAAAACAAAGGTCATATGGGTTCTAGGATGCTTCTGGCAAACACTATCAGATCAGTGGAAACCAGGAATGTCAGCCCACGATGTTTTTGGGCACGCGGTCTTGTCAGATCGGCTTGCTGCACGTCCCTTGCACTACGGCAAGGACAGGTATGGTAGTTGTTTTCTATTGTTCTCTACATGTTCCCAAAGTTGGAACGCTCAGCATGCGAGGACGCATGCTGAGTGCGTGAATAGTTAGTATGCCACTTTAGCACCGAGACGGATTCAAGACTTGCAAAGGGATATGATATGATGTTTACTTTGTGTTTGATCGACCAAGGATAAAACATGCTCCACGTCCAACTGGACATTTGTTCAACTGGACTTTTTGTTCCACGTGGGAGATCTTTTGAGATTAGATAGACCGTAGAATATTATGCACTGTCAGATTTGGTACTGCACATTTCAAAAGCATAGTATGGGTTGATATCAAGAGCCAATATGTACTCCTGCATGAACATGGATGTAAATGAACATGGCCCAAACCGACTCTTGCGATTCCAAACATAAGAATGTCCTTCCTACTCCAGCCAAATTCTTTGAAGAAGGACATCTGCGCCTGATCATGATCCAAATACTGACATCTTGGGTCTAATACTGGGGGAACCAGTGATGCACCCAACCGCTCCGACCCCTTGGACCATGGGCCGTTCGTGCGATGGTCGTTCGCGTGGTGCTGGCAATGCTGGTTGCAGGGACTTGGTCTTCCCATTCCAAACATCCAAATGGAAGTCGGAACTCCATCCAAATCAAACCTCCAAACGGACTTCTGACGTTATTTCATAGTGACCTGTGTATCAGCAGCAGGGATTCTAGTGAAATCGCCCTGTTCGAAACCTCCTGAACCATGACACTTCAGCAAGGTCTGGCTCCAAAAAATCGGAAAAAAACGACTCAAACACGAAAGGAAAACAAACACATCGAGGCCGAGTTTGGAGGCTTGTCGAGCCCAAGTCACACGTAGCCCTCGTACTGCATTTCCAAAGCCAGCACCATGACACTCACCAGGATGAGGATTCCCATGCAAAGCTCCTTAGAAACAAGAAGAATTCAGCTATATAGTCATTTGCATCCACTTCATAGCACTTCAGTCTCCTAAACTGTGCTGGATTTTTTTGAATATTGTTGTCGAAATCCTCCAATCACTTTTTGGACAGCCATAAGAACGCAATCCTGCGATTTCACTTCACCACAAATGTTATAAACCGTGCATGTATATAAAATGAGTGAGGCAATAAAAATTCACTGAACTATTGAAAGGACTGCAAAATACAAACAAATACATTGCCTGTCTACACACCTGTAGAAGGCCTGCGATCCAAGACTGGAGCAGGTTTGACCATGGATCTGTTGAATTGAGAGTTTCAACTTGCACGACTCATCTATTTTGCCAGGCACTTTGATAGGGGAGCCTACTATCTAAGCTGCATATTCATGATGAAAGCTGTTCATGACCCAAAAAATCACAAACCTCGGACCTCAGAGCCAGCAAATGTTTTTTTTTGGCAGCCTTTTGAACCCAAAACTAACTACTCTCGGGTACTGTACAAATCGATGCTTTTTCGATGCATCGACAAAGCGCTTCGCGCTGTCCGTCGTCGTCATTGGGCTCATCAAACGCCGTCTCCGTCTCCACCCAGGCGCGTAGCTGTCCGCCTCAAAGAAGGATCCGTTCAGGCTTCCACTGCTTCCAAAGCGAGGTAGAGGTCCTTCTCCCTGAGCCGTTGGAGCTTGGGTGGCTGGTTGGAGCTTGGGACGCGTTCAAAATCAAACAACAGATTACCGTGGCTGACCCTTTTGTGCGGGGCTGTATATGGCTGCATTTCTTCTCACCAAATAAGATCTAGATGTATTTGAAAATGAAACAAATGCTTTCAATGAAGTTCTGCAGTCCGGAGTTTCTTGGTGAAACTGAATCAATTGAATCAATTAATTATGATGAATCAGCCGTACCTGGAGAGGGACCTTCACACCCAGGGCTGAATTGTCAGGTGTAGGTCATTGCAGGTCCACACTACCCTGTCAAATATCCTTGGCTTTGAAGGGAACACCTGCCCCAGGTCCTGCAAACAGTTGACATATGTATATATATACACGGACAAACATACTCCAATCAAAACAGGATATAGTAATATAGTATGTATATATATAATATAAATAACTATAAACATGTTGCATAGACACCGATATGAGCCTCAAGGGAGAAGCGCCAGCCAAGTAGAACTATACTTCTTATACTTATCATATCTTATCTTAACCCCACTAGAAATCAGTTTGTGTGATAGAACTGAACTGTCCCTACCGGCCAACCTCTTTTCAGACCAAAATCGAACCTGATGTCTTTGAGACGTGCGATGAAAAACTCCCCATGATCCCACCCGCCTGACTGCTCATGGTGGGGATCACTGCAACCGCTTGGGCAGGGGCAGTGGCGGCAGTGGTAGTGCCCTCTTCGAACTGGCAAAGTGATCAAGCTGTCAGAACTGACCAAAGGTCTATATCAGTCATAAGGCCCTGCCCTTCTACTTACTTCTTACTGAGCAAGCAAGGACCTCTGCTATGCCTGGAAAAACAGGTCTCTTTACTTTGCAAATTATGGTTTCTGGGCTTGAAGTGGTGAGGTCAACTTTCTAGACAGTTTCATCGATCAAGCTCTGGGTCATATTAAGCGACCAGCACACTACCCCAGGAACTCCTTGACACGCTCCTTGGCTGCCCTGTTCGAAAAATGTGGAAAGGCCCTAGATTGGTCCAACATCTAACTGCCTACGAAGAAGCAATGCTGGAGAGATGGTCTCCGATATATCGAATTCCTGGGAAAGGTGTTGCTTCAGATTTGGCCCCATACAAACAAACTCACCTATAATACCTCATAGGGACTGCAACCTCTGGATTAATGCAACCTCTGGAATGTCGCCTCATGTCGCCTCTGTTGGCAGGACGGCCAAGAAGCTGCCACAAATTGAACAGTTGTTCGTGCCTTGGCGCCTTGGAAATCGCCTATTTCCACTGTTAGAGCCAAACCAAAGACCTGTTCACCGACATCAAACACCTTCGCTTCGAAGTAGCTGAAAAAAACCGACACCCTTTCAGTTTAATGGTCAACACCGTCGCGAGGAGCGGCGCCTTGACTTGATGGGGCGGTGCCGCTCCTTCTTCATACTGGCGGTGCCGCTGGTCTTTTGGAGTCGAAGGGTTGTTCAAAGCAACAGGATTGAAATCGCCTCCTGGAGCCGTCTTAAACATGTCCCAACAGGTCCAAATGTCTTAAACTGGCCTTCTGATGCAACTCTCGCTTCCCTCACTACCACCTTAAATATTACTGTCGCACAAATGGTGAGAGTGAAAGCGCAGATCCTGCTAAAGTGCCGAAATAAAACAACATGACTACCAGGGATGCCAAGCAAAACCACACATATGCTTATATAATTAGAGTACTTAATGTTGGGTCCAGTTTTAGGTCCAGTCTCCATCGCATCAACAAGTTTCATTCAAACAAGCTGAACGTCCTCGCTCTCACAGAACTTTGAGCCAATCTGAAAGGGAAAACTTGGACTCCGACGGCACAGAACACATTTTTAAAATCGACCCCAAATAAATAGACGTTCGTAGATCCCCACTCAAAATGTATTGGAAACCGTGCCACTATCTATTTGAGGACCACCATTTGTCAACCCCCCTGTTTGTAAAGGAGTACATATATATATAGAGAGAGAGAGATAGATAGAGAATATTGTAATATATAGTCTTCCTTTTGGGACCATGCCATCAACGTAACCATGTGATGTGTTACTGGGAATGTATATACATATATATATATATAAAGACTCTATCAACCCAAACCGTTTCGGTGCGTATTCTTTCTCTTCGGATCGCCTATGTTTGAGGAGAAACCCGAGATTCGGGGCATCCAAATCATCTCTATCCGATTACCAACAATCTCACTCAATCCATACGACCAGCTGAGATGGATGTTCCTGGTGATGTCGAGGGCTGAACTTGCTGCTGCCTTTTACGGCCCCTTTCTCCAAACGAGTCTACTTTCATTTGTGTGAAGGGGCCCAGTTAGTATTTGTGCCTGTATTGCAAGACACCGGACATGGCGCTGTACCCCAAACATCCAGGGCCTTGACTGCGCCACTTGCTGCACCTTCTTGATACTGGCATGGAGCTGCCGAGTGAAGGTGTCTTTTAGAGTCTTTGGGAATCCAAAGACATGCAACTACAACAATTCGATAATAGGGGCAACCTGACGCAACCTGAATGGGACAACACCCCCCCAAAAAATATGGTTTGCAATCAAAACACATCAAAAAGGGAGGCTTCTACCTCTTCCAACGAAACAGCTTCAACCTCTTCAATCGTGAATGGCTGCCCACTCCGCGATCGGCGAAAGCGTTGGCAGAATCCTTCACTCCTGACGACCTCTCGCCATCCCCATCACCTCAACAGCATCACCTCAGCCAATTCCTCGGACGTCCATCCGATGTCTGGCGATCCGCCATTGGCTTGCCATGGCCATGGTCTGGCCGCCAGTCTCTTTAAACATCTCTCCGAATCCTCTAAGCTGTTCCCTCAAATACACTGGAGGGCTAGTTCTGAACCAACGACAACATCTTTGGAACATCTACTGGATTCACACATGAACAAACAGTCAAAAGACCTGCAGCGACGCTGGTTGATGGGCAGTCCTGAAGCTCCAAGACAACCAAGGCTGGACCGTTCATGACCTTTGATTGATGTTGATCACCCCTTTTGGGATCCTTTTTGCTAGATACACGAGAAATATATGAGTAATGAATTGTGGGTATTCTCATCTCACCAAAAAAACGCTCCACACTTCCTTTCATCGAAGAACACATACGCCGGTCCCGCATCCGGCCAGGGAAGGCCAGCACCGACCTACGCCGGTCCCGGTAGGCCGGCCTCCATGGTGTCTTGGGAGAGTTCGAAGGTCGACCCGGACGTCAGTCTCAACATCTGGGGCCGCCCGGGTCGGTCGCACGGCGAGACACTCCACGGCACGACACGGCGGCGTTGGTTCGTGTCGTGTCGACGCAATAGAAGGGACGACACGCCCGAGGTGAAGGACACCCAAAGTGAGTTGAAGCCAAGAACAGGATGCGAAAAGAGTGAAAACATGATGAAAAAAAACAGGATGTGGTGCGACCATGTGAACCGGAGCCTTGCGCTAAAGCAGGTTGAAGCTGATGATAGATGATTATGGTATCTTAGGGGAGCTTTCTATAGTAAACCAACGTTACCATAGAACTGAGGACCGTGAAACATTGCTCTAAGGGACACTGAAGTATGGAACTGAGCTGGAGTTTGCGTCTCAAAGTGTGTTCTGCTGCACCTTCACAGCCTGGATGGTCCTGCGATTTTTGCGAGACAGGCGATTCGTTCTGTACCTATCCCGACATCCCCAGCCTTAACCCCAATCGCAAGAACCCCGATCGTGTGTCCACACTGTTTGGAGAAAAAAATCAACTGATCGCTGATCGCATTGAATCAGTTTGTCCCGAGCGCACACCATGAGTTCTTGAATGTCGAAACCTACTCTTGGATCAAACCTGCCCATCCACGAAGTGACGTAGGAAGTGATGCTGGAGTCGGATTTTCTCTCCATCAGAGTACTCTTTGAGCCCGAGTACGAGTTGGACATGTAGTACTCTTTGGCTCAAAGAACATCAGAGATCCATCCACGATCTATCGTTGCGCAACGGTTTTTGGAACCACCAGCCCTCCCCCAGTCCCCCCCTCCACGTCTGGGGTCTTCCGACTGGAAAGCGGCTGATGGGAAGATCTGGGGCACCGTCCGTCGGCGGAGGACGTAGAGGACGAAGACGACGTCGGCTCTGACGCCATGACGAAGTCTGACTCGTAACATGTGAGAGTCGAAGGGCACGAGAACTCCATCACGTGCCAGCAAGAAGGATCCAACGATCTAAAGATTCATGGCAACATTTGTGTAGCTCGAGCTGGGCACAGCATCAAAGGCTTGTACTATAGACTTTGATTAGAAGGAACAAGTAAAGTTGACAGGTTTTCAACGAGTAGCAAAAATGCAACCTAGATCCTACAACCCCCTGGGAGTGGCCGCGTTCCTCGATCAAGCGGCCACTAGGTTGTTCTCCATAGAACTGAAACCAAGTACCTTCTCTTCGGCTCAACGAACTGCTGAAACACCGCGTCCAACCTTCTTAATATAGATGTCTATCAACCTGCATAGAACCCAGACATGCTTTGGGGACAAGCGTGGGTTCCACCTGCCTACGCCAAATACATCCAATTGAATCCAGTTGACACGTTCCAGCAGATGAACACCTGATGTTTCCAGCCTTCCTTGGTCAGGACTTCTCCCCTCCCGACTCACGACGACGACCGATGTGTCCATGCCTTCCCGAGCGACGACGTCCTGAGACGGAGGAGTCCAAGCGAGGTCAAGCCCTAAAAACAGCGTCCAAAATCAGAATGCTCGGTAGATCCTCACCTCATGGCAGAGAGATCTGAACTTGACACGTGATACGGGTGCCTCAAGGATCCAAACAACTCCCGTTCAAAAAGAGCAGCCAAAGGCATCTTTTTAATATAAGCAGGACTCAAGTAGCAATGAACCTGGTGCTCTTAGGCATCAAATACACGTGTGTACAGTATATATCATTCAACATGGCGGCCCTGGGACTTGCCAAAGAGGGTTGCTCGACAAAATGATCGTCACGTTGTGACATGCTTATATATATATATAAAAACGTATATCATCAACACGTTTTTTTTTGTTGGACCGCTCGATGATCCGACCCATGCTCAAAGCTTTGACCCGATGCACAATTCTACTTTGACATTGAGGAAGCCAAGTTTGTTTCGTGGTGAAATCATGGCAATTTCTCCTGTCCACTCTTAAGAGGCAACGCTGTGCAATTGTGCGCTCACCAAACAACTCTCATGTCGGAAACGCCCCACGCCACAACCCCCTGGCCATGGAGTTTTGCAGGGCACATGGACACATCGCTGCTCATCCATGATAACCAGCACCGTGTCAATTGCCCATCCCAAATACAAACGGGATAACAAGGTTCTTCATGGAACAAACGTGAGCAACACATAACAAAACAATGCTTTTCCTTCTACCCCTTCCTGCTGTGCTCCAGTCTCTTTAAACATGTACTGCCACGCACTACCTTCCTGAAGAACCCAAGTTCTTCTGTATAGCTTCGGTGAGGAAGGCCACTGGGATGTGTGGTGTGATGCCAGCCGACGTGTACGCTCTGCAAATGTGTTGGAAGAGCGAACAAAATTCACCATGCGAGTTCGTAAGCACTTGTCACATCTTTTCACATTTGAAGGCAAACCTTTGATAGTTCCGAACCAAGAGGGTGGACGTGCAACTTGGACTTTGATGCAATCTTTGACATATATATATATATGTATATATACAGTATATATATATATGTATGCAAGCTCACACGATCCGGGACCACAACATGCTCACACTACATCAGCAGCCTCCATACAAACATCAGCAGCCTCGACGATCACGGCACGGTGGCATTATGTCATATTATGTCGTCATCTCCCGGAGAGGGCAATACTGAACGCGACGGCCTCTCCCACACAAGTCCATTCAGCCCGGCCTCCTCCTCAAAGCATCTTGAGCCTGGCAAGATATGTCGTTCATTGTTTCGACTCATGACCACTTTTTGGTGAGTGATCCAAAATTCACAAGTGAAACAGGCCGTTTGGGGGCGCCCCAAATAAGCTCATCTTGCTCATCTTGCTCCCATATGTAATTCGTGTCACGACGACACGACGCCGTGCGTTTAGGCCGGCCGATGTCCATGTGGCCCACGAGCAAGGCGAAACAGCGCGCCCCGGAACAGTGGCTTTCCGATGTCCATGGGATTTGGTAGATGGTGAGATGGTGAAATTCCTGTGCAATGTCAATACTTGCGGGCGAAAGCAAAGCGCGCATTGAAGAGTCTCCTACCTAAATGCCAGATTTCTTCAGCAAGTCTACTTGACGGACGGAGTCACAATTGAGTAAAGGACCTAGCGACCTAGCATTGGATCTCCGCGATCGGTCCACACATCTCGATCGTTTCGCTGCCAGGGGGGTGTCGATGATCAGGGCACCGCTCATCCGACTTGACGCAAGTCTTACAGTGAGAAAACACGAATCAAGTTCTCCACAAACGCACTCCCTATGTCATTTGCAACGCTGTGATTAGATCCTTCCAAAAGAGTCCAAGGGTATGGGCGGGCCGGCAGTATGTGTATTCCAAGCCCCTCAAACGATCTCAAACGGCGCAAACCACATGACCGCCCTCATCGCCTCCATCTCTGGCAGCGTCCAGCCGATGCAGGCGGCAAAGACCTGAGCTGCTTGGGGCAGCTTTCTATGGCCAATATGTTTCTACAAGGGTCCAATTTGTTTCATGTAGATCAGGTAAACCCAAACAGTCAAGTCAAAGCCCCGTTTCTGATGCGGACAAGAGAAGGTCTGAACAGTTCCGAACAACCACTCGCCGATTTCATACCAAGAAGGCAAATCTGGCACCTATGTAAGGTTTGATTGATTGAATAAATTGATTGCAGTAGACTACTGCTCAGCAGAGTGGGCCAAATACCCTAGCTGGAGCTGCCGCTGCCGATGATAATTACTATTACTACTCCAATGATCTATTATGGCTATTATGATGATGGTAATGATGAGGATAGATTTGAGTGACGTCTGGTCCACCAAAAAAAAAAAAATGATGAACAAGCAAAGGAACATTGAAAGAGGAAAGAAACAGTTGGTATGGGGAGTGTCTGCTCAAGGATTTGACCGGTTCAGAGCTATTACAGTAAAAACAAACCAAGGACTGAGACTCAAATCTGACTTCCTGTCGTTTTCAGTGGAAGCTTATGAAAAAAGCATGTGGCATCGGTTTGTTCTGTGAAAGTTGCACACCATGGGGAGGCTTCCAACGATGAAAGTTCCAGGTCCCAGTCCCAACAAGGTGGATGACCTGGGTCTGCAGCAGTCCCCCCTCAGGTGCGTGCGGTTCGCAGTCTGGAGGTTCTCCTCGAACGGCACAAACAAATACAGTGACTTTGCTGCATCTTCGATGAGCAATGGTCTCCAACCTAATAGCGATGTCCTCCAACCTAATAGCGATGGCCTCCAACCTGTCTTGGAGGTTGATCCAAATGCAAAAGAAAGGGAAGACACACCACAACACCGTTTTAACAGATTTGGAACGTGCATTATTTTTGGACTCTGACGCAGTCAGTGGTCTGTGACCGCGTGCTCTTATGATGAAACTGCATTGATCAATTCTCTGGGGGATGGCGTTGAAAAAAGACGCGCTCACAGTCGCTCAACTTCAATGAAAGCTCAACAACAAGGACATCATCAGGGTCGCCATAATCAAACAGTGGGTGTTACAAGTGATCCACAGTCCACTGAGGTTTGAAGTCATCCTAAAGGGAAGATCTCTCAGATTTCACCCACACGCAAGGGTATCAAGGTCGGTTCTGACGATTCAAACCATCTGCCGGCGGACCCCGTACGACCGCGCGGCCGTTCCCGCGGAGTCGGCGCCGTGCCTCGAGCAGCTTCAACTCCCGGAGATGTTCGCCTTGGGAGAGTCATCAATCGGGCGCGGAATAGCTTTTTTCTCACAGCATCCATGTATGGCATATTTATCTAGATTGAGGCCCTGACCCTATGAACTTAAATATGATTAACATTGATTAAATATGCCAAACACGGATGGTCTGGTACCCCACAGACCTGGCATCATATTATGTATGCCTTCAGAAAAAGCCCGACAAAACCGATCCTGTCACTTGGCTTCAGGATCCTCCTTGAACATCTGAAAGAAGTCTGGATGCAGATTCTAAATCTACATCACCATCCTTCTAACGTCACCAAGAAGTGCCAGAATGGCTTCAATCTCGCTCATGTCCATGTCCAACCCACCAGCATCCACCAGCTTCCCGTGAACCATCCAAGCCTTGACTCTTGCCACTCAGTCCTTACAGCCCATCAATGTTGGGACAGCCTTCAGCCAAAAACAAAAAACAGCAGGATAGAGTCATTATGCGTTGCTGCTTCACCTTGCCGGTCCCAGTCCCAGTCATGCCGCTTTTCACGGCCGACCGTCGTCGGGCGCGCTTTGGCGCCCCATGGCCCGTGAGTCGGGCGGCGACCTGTCGGGCGAGGTGTCAAGACCGAAGAGGAGCCAAACAGCCTAGTAGCGTCCTTGTTCCTAGGTGGACGGTCCATGGAGATGTACTTCTCTTCAGTTAACAAACACGGAAACAACCAGGAGCCCCTCGTAGCGTCCTAAGGGAAGTATCACAGCATGGAACTTATGACAATAGAAGACAAGCCAAGTGGCTGAAGCCTAAAGCCTGTCGCTCAAAACATTTGAGGCCCGACAATTCTCTTTGTAATTTCTACCTCTTGGTGAGGGCTCAAAATCGCTTGTGGGTGTAAGGAGATGTGTTGGTCGAAACCATGGAAGACTGAGGTGAGGACCTGTAGGATAGCCCAGCGCTTTTGGCAAAGTTTCCAAAGTTTTCCTCCAGCCCAAATCCATGAAAGCGCTGGCAAAGGAACCCCAGCTCACGTGCGTTACGGGAGCCGTTTCACTCAGAACTAGAGGGAACAGACCAATAGAGTAATTTCACAATCGTTGCTTTCTTCCATCGAGCCTTGGTGACCAGAGTCAAAAGTGACCAGAACCAACTGAACGTATTACACTCACACAAGCAAAACAATGGGAGCAAAAAAAAACAAGCCTCTCAAACCAAACCATGGTCCACGTCATCGAAAGCTAGGCATGTTCAATGCGAATGACGCTCGCCCGGCCTCAGCAAATGCTACAAAGCTCGCATTGCTCATCATGATCACTGCAATCTGAGTCGTCACAATGCGTTGTGCATTTCCTTAGTTCGGCAAGCCAGCCAACCCAGCAAGCAAGAAGAACAAATTATGGAAGTTGTCCCACCAGATTACCAGAAAGCCGCATTGGATGCATTTGGATGATGTGTTTGCCTGTATCTTGGATGTGCCTCCGGATGATGACCATCCCTTGCAGCCCGCCCGAGTGCGGGCCCGGGCCGTTTTCCACTTGTTCATGTTTCAGTGGGGAAACGAGTCCCCCAAAGGGCAAAAGGGTGATCCACTGACTGGGTACGGGCTTTACATACAATTGAAAGACTTCTTCCATCAACGGTGATGCAAATAACGCCAAGTGTCCTGGCTTTGCCGGTCTCATCCCACCCGTCGAATTTTTGACTGATTGGTCCCAGCATCGCCTGCGGCAAATTGCCATGGGATGCAGAAACGTACCCATCCAGCGTCCTGGTATGGTTTGTAAAGCATCCTTTTCATTTCTGGTTGCATCTCGTTCTAAAAGCAATTCAACGAAAGGAATTTATATATGGTCACTTCCTTTTGTATCGTTTCCAAAATATGTACGCAATTCCACACAAGGAAAAGTGAATGTCCTATGTCCTTTCTAAAGGCACTTCCTGGACCAGACTCCAAATTCTTTTGGGGAAAATGCGCCATGCAACAAATCCATATCCAGGAGGATAAGATCCGCACCAACGACGGTCCGTACATACTGTCTATCTTTATTCTATATTATATCATATGTATTATGTGTTTGTCTTTAACCCAAAATGTATTGTCCTTTAAAAAAATGTGGAAATAAAACATCAATCAAAAGGTGTTGAGTGTTCAGGGGTTAACAACACATAACAAACTACAACAATATACATACCATACCATTTGTATATACACAATATGACACGAGTGCATGTATGTGTCATGCATATCAATGGTTTCTTGTTGCTGTGGTATCGAGAACCAAGTATGGATGATCGGTGATTTGACTCCACATACACAATCGAAACGGCCGCCTTGGGCCTTGGGAGGCAGTCGTGGTTTGTTTCACTCAGCTTTCCGTGATGCAACGAAAAACCTGATAGAACCTCCGAATCCAAATGTTTTTGGGGTAAGAGATGTTTTTGAACTGACATCATCGATGTACAGGACACTGGTGGCCCACCAGGCCACAGAACGGCATGGCGCACGCAGCACAGGCTTTGCACCAAGCACTGGTGCACAGCGGCACTAGGACAACGCATTGTCCGATCCAAGCACCGCATGGCGCAGCGACATCACCGACATTCACTGAGACCACTGTGACCACATCGCAGAACCGCATCGTACGCAGCATGTACAACACCATAGCGCCTAGTGATCGGTTGTGGGTGTTCGTGATCGGTTGTGCCTGCAGAAGGGTTCCAATGTAGTCCTGACTTGTTCTTTTTTGTGATCAACAACAGTTGTCAAACTATGGCCCCACCACTTGCGTTTCAAACCCTTATCTCTGTACCCAAAGTGACGGGGTTCATCGGACATTGGCAACATGTTCCATAACTTTGTCTTGTGCGGGAAGAAAGGTGCTGACCCATCTCAACATAGACCTAGCTGCCAATTCATGGTTCAACATAATGGGAAATGTTTGTTGTTGATGATATTTTCACCGAGCAGCACTTTGTTAAGCCAAATGTAGATTTTGTGGCAGGCGCCCCCCCCTTTGTGAACTTCAAAGTGCAGACTTCGCGGCAAGCACAACACTTTGTGACTGAACCTCGAAGTGCAGTTTTAGTATGCGCACCACTTTGTGAACCTCCAAGTGCCGATTTCGTGGCAGGCGCAACAACATGTGAACCTCGAAGTGTAGATTTGATAGCCAGCGCAGCATGCTCTCTAAAACCTCGTGCCCTCACCTGTGTTCGCACATGCGTGTTTGTTTATGTAACTTATGTGTGTTCTCATGTGTGTGTGTGCTCTCTGTTGTGCTCTCATGCACGTGTTCATGTGTTCGCTCATGCATGTGAACTCTCATGCGTGCGCGTTATACTCTCTCATTTATATATGTGTTTTCATGCGTCTACGTGTGTGCGCGTGTGTTGCATGTTTGTGCTATCACATGTGTGTTCTTGTATGATCTTGTATGCATGTTTGCTCTCATATGTTGGCCCTTACATGTTTGCTCAAATGTGTGCTCTCAGGTGTGTGCTCTTAAATGCATGGTCTCATGCCTCTGTTTTACCTGTGCGCTCTCACATGCCTCCTGTTTTATGTATGCTTCAATACTTGTATCCTCTCATATGTGCACTCGAGAGTGCGCGTGCTCGTGCTTCATGTGCTCGAAGGGGCGGGCCAGTTCCAAAAGTGCAGTGTCAAATCTCCAAAACAAGCATTTGGTATAAGACCCTCTCCATTCATCCAAGACATCTTCCCAAAGCTTCTGGCAGGAGTTTGCTCAACGCGACGAGAACGCAACGAGACCCGAGACGAGACAACACCAGGTGAACACATGCATGTCCAGCCCCCAAACCCCCAGAATATAAACGGGATTGAATGGGAACCCTTCGCCACACCTTCGGGAAAACATGTCTTTTACGCATTTGACGAAATCAGTTTGTTTGAATTTACAGTCAAATTCACCATGAATACATATGCTCGGGTCTTATCTCATTGTCAAGGTTCAGGAGAAGAGTATTTGCCCACTGGGTTGCAAAGCCCAGCTGTGGTATGGTTGTCCCGAACAGGTATCACATTTCTTTCGGCAGTGCGCTGTTTTGCATGGATAGGTGTACCCAAACCATCCCAAACCTACCATGCTCCTGCGAGATCCTGCGTGTACAACTGGCAAACGGATACCTTGTACAGTAGACTTGCCAAAGCCATTTCCTGAATCAAAACATAGGCGTTCCGGCCTTCCGCCCATGCCCATCATCCCATGTGTGCACCCCGGTGTTCCGCCCCGGGCCTTCATCAACCAATCTCCTCGCGTGAACTGTGGCCTCTTCCGAGCCTTCATGACGACCTCCTGCATCTCACTATAGTAGTCATCCTCGGCTCTCCGGTCCCGTGCTAGACGGTGCCTTTTTGAGAAGAACATGTTCTCAACGACCAGACAAAACGAGTCGGCAGACTGGACCTGTACCGGACAAATGCCCGTGTTGAAGGCTCTCTTCGGATTCAACTTATAAACATATATTATCTATATATATATATATGTATGTATGATAGCCTATTATGGAACAAATGTGGCCAGGCTCGATGTATATCCAAGTTTGGAAAGCATTGGAGGAACTTCTGTGATACAATATAAACAACCAAAGGATTACAAAGGTCCAGACTTTTCCGGGAAATCTATCCGATCGTAGGGTTTCGCGGACCTTTCATCCACTGGAATGGCCTCAACATCCTCAACTGGTGGAGACCAGGAATGTAGTCCCGTGCAATTCCGCGAAAGTTGTGTAAAGGTGACGGGGACTCAAAACACCTCCTCATTCCAGGCATCTGTAACGTCCACCTTGCCAAACTTCTCATCAATTTCGTTCAAGTATCCTGGAGCTACAACAGCTCTACTTTGGCAACTGGATTCATGACACACTTTGGGAAGAAGGTCAAATGTCAAGTTTTGACCAATTCAGGGAAGTAGTAGTTGTATCTTGGTACATCGGAACTCAGAGTCTCAAAGGAGCTCGCTGCACATCTGTTTCTGCAGAAACAGGGCAAGGCTCCACTGGGCTGACAATCCAG